GGGTGGGTCCGCGCGGAATTCTGACAATAATAGCTTGTATGGGCGCGGCTGCGTGTCTAGCCAAGTGCGGAAGAGCGTCTCCGACCCGTGGACCTCTTGCAAGAGGATCACCTGCTTGGCCCGCATGAACTTGATGAGGGCGGCCTGCTTGCGGCGACGTCGTCGGCGGCGCGAGCGCATGAAGGCGCGGGCGTTCCAGCTGACGAAGGTAGAAGGTAGCGTCGTGTCCGAGCCGCGCCAAGGGGACCGCGGGTGGCCAGGAACGCCACGTTGTGGACTCGGTGTCCGCGCAGAGTGCCTGGAAGTCTGCGAGGATGGAGCCGCAATTGAAGGTGGGTTTCTCCAGCGCCCGCTCGTTCCATTCGAGAATGGCGGGGTCGGCTTGGCCTTTAAAGTTGAGGCGTACCAGCGGTGCCGCATCGCAGTGGATCTCGCCCCTTGGAGCGGATGGCGCGCCAGCGTAGCTGCGGGTACTTCTGCGACAAAAGCAGATGCAGCTTCTTGCGCTGGATCTCCGCGCGGATCTGCCTCGGCGACTTGTCGGGGTTGACGCAGAAGTCGGCGTGGACGCCGTTGGTGTCGACGGTGTGGAAGCGCTGCCATCGGCCCGCGGCGCCCCGAAGAGCACGTTGAAGAGCGAGCGCCCGTGGGATGGCCACCTCCCTGTTGCCCTTGACCTGGAGGATGAAGCGCCGCGCGGGCTCGTCTCCATGGAGTTCGACACGGTCGTGTTGGAGTCCAGCAGCACCGATCCACTCCTGCAGGCCGTTGAGGACGGCATTGGGGGCAACGAGCCACTGTGAGCCAATGGCGAACAGGGTAGCGTCTGGCGATCTGCCCCACTCGGCAAGCCTGGAAAGATCGGCGACGGGGGCCTGCACCTCGGCGAGGGCGATCGCGCCGCGCAGCTTGCCGATCTGAGCCCACCTCCTGCGCTGATCCTCGGGCTGCTTGTCCTGCTCTCGCTTGGTGCGGGCCAACTGGTCCTTAAGGCAGTCCACGCGGCGTTCAGTCTGAAGGACTTGTTGTTGGAGAAGCCGGCGGGAGCTGTCGCGGGACTGTTCCAGTAGGATGTCGGCCTGCTGCTTCAAAGTGGCGGCGGCGTGGGAGATCTGCTGCTGCGTGAGATTCTGGGGGGCGCTGCCCAGGTCGTCTGGAAGTCCAGGGAGTCGAACGGGAGCACCATCAGCAGCTGGATTGGCAGACGCTTGCGGAGTCCGTTGGTCTTCTCCTGGTTGTTAGCCCGCCCCCCTCCCACACTTTCCTTTTTGCGTTGCGCACGGCCCTGAGGCAAGAGCGAGGTGCAGCGGCACCTCGCCGCGCGGACTGCCACCGGCGCCCCAGCAGGGGCAGGCAGAAAAAGAGGGTGGGGGGGTGGGACAAGCGGCCCCCCCTGATCCGACCCTGCTGCAGCGGCACAAAGAAGGGAAGGGGAACAAAGGGGAAGAGGACAGAACATGCATGGGGCGAGCAGTGCTAACTTTGCTTCACCTTCGCGAATCAGCGTTAGCCCGCCCCCCTCCTACACTTCCCTTTTTGCTTTGCGCGCGGCCCTGAAGCAAGAGCGAGGTGCAGCGGCACCTCGCCGCGCGGACTGCCACCGGCGCCCAATGCCACTGTAAGGGGCGGTGGCAAGGACACGCTATGACTAATTCTCCGGGCCGCTGTCGTCAATGACGCCCTGCGCGAGCTGGCCCGCTGCCGCCTCGTCGCCCGACACATGCGGCCGCGCGGAGGCGAAGGGGCGCCACCCACCGCGCGGCAGCATGGCCTCAACGCCGGACGCTGCCAAAACATCCTTGGCGGCGCCACGCCGGATGTCATGGCCGTGCCACTCCTCTGGGCGCGGCGCCCCCACGGCGGCCAAGTGTCCGCGAAATTCGCGAGTCCACGACGCCGGGGTAAACCCGCCCAACGGCGGACCGGCACTCGCCCGGGCCTGCTCGTCCAGCAAAGGCAGCCACGTGTGCAGACATAACGCCTCGTCCGTATTGCAAAGGCAAAAGGCAAACGCAGTGCAAAAGTCTTGGCGCTGCTTACGCCGAATGGGACCGTAAAGGAAACGATTGCCTGCCACCTGTAGCAGACCCCGCCGATACTGGCGGAACAGCTCCGACGGCATACGCAACAATAAGTTGTACGCCAGCACAGCTGTGAGACACCACCACACCCGACCTTGCGGAAAGGCGTGCCGCAACAAAGCCTTCATCAACGCTTTGTCCACGCGTTGCCTGGGCTGGCGGGGCGTCCTGCCTTCCACGGTGCCCAGCCGGACCCCGCGCAAGATGGCATCGCGGTCGCCCTGCCAATGCACGCCTGCCACCTGGTGCGCCATGGCCCAAGCGCTCAGCCACCCGCGCTGCGTGGCAGCACGCGCGCACACGGCGGCGACCCTACGTATGTGCTGCACACTGCACCCCAGCGGGGGCTCACCGAAAAGCTCAGACGCCCACGCAATCATACGCAAATGCGATGCGTACGTCGAGAGCGTGGACGGCACCGTTTTGCACAGGAACCGGTTTTCGACCACTGTCCCCGCTATGCGAAGCAGATCGGCACCCTGAGCGCGGGCCTCGACCATGGCCTGCAGCACCTCGCGCGGAGGCGCGCCATCCGGGTGCCTTGCAGAGCACCCTCTGTCCCGGCTCAACGCGGTCAACATGTCGGCATTCTCCCTGCCAACAGCTCGGCGGAAACTGTCCAGCACGCTCCAGTACGTGGACCAAGCCTCTGCGGGGCCACGCGCGCACACGGCGCCGCCAGGGCTAGCCTGTACCCCGCGGGGAGGAGCGCCGGCAGTGTGCGGACAGCTGCGCGCGCTGCCACTGCCACCTGGCGGAGCGGCGCCGGAATGCCCAGCGGGGCCGCCCCCGGCGCCACCAGCGACCCAGCGGGGCCCTGGGGCGACCGGCAAAGAAGCCCGCGGGGCTGAAGCGCCCTGCGGTGCGCCTTGGGAGACCAGTGCGGCGGCGGCCTGGGGCGCCACGCGGGTCGCCGGCTTTCGCCGAAGGCGCCGGATCCCCGGCGGGGAGCGCAGCGGCGCACACCGATGGAGGCGCGGACCCATGCGCCGCGACAAGCGGGCGGGCGACCCTGCTGGCGAGCACGAGCCAATACGGCGGCGGCCTCGAATCCGCCCCCCCGCCCAAGGGGGGGGGAGGCAGGAGGAGGAAGCGAATGACGACGGCGACCGAGACCCCAATGATGAAGATGCCCCGGCGCCAGCCGCGGCAGGTCCCCACAGCTCCGGCCCACAAGCGGTCCCCCCTGATCCGACACTGCTGCAGCGGCACAAAGAGGGGAAGGGGAGCAAAGGGGGAGAGGACAGAACATGCATGGGGCGAGCAGTGCTAACTTTGCTTCACCTTCGTGAATCAGCGTTTTGCTTGCGATGGGAAGGTGGGGAACATCTCCAAGTCGCGCGCCATACCCTGCGTGAAACGCTGCTCTCCGTTATGGCGTTGTTGTTTTTGGTCGGTGCCCTGGATCAGCTTGCTGCAGATGGACGGTTGCTTGTGTATGTGTGCCCGATGAACCTGGGCGGGCAGAGGATCGGCCAGATCGCGTAGCACGCTGTCGTGCTGCACCAGAGGAGGCCATGATGGTAAGCGTGTCCGCGGCAGCGGCTGCACGGTGCCCACGACGGCTAAGTTGTTGGCTGCGGCTGTTGCTGCGCTCCCCGTCGGAGGAGGCGCCCGACATGATGTCGAAGAACTCGCAGTGGGTGCTGGGGCGCTGGGATGACCCTTGCCACTGACCAGGACCACTTCTGAACCACCACGTGATACAGCACTTACCACTGCGAGGCTCGGAACACCGCTCGACAAGCAGCTCGGAGCGACGCTCGACGAGCAGATATGGACGATATGGAGGGCCACCTGCCAGGCCAAGAGAATGAGCAGGAACGCGTTTGGGCCGCTGCAAGCCCTTGATTGTGGCAGCGCGCGAAAAGCCGAGGCTGGTGGGAGCCTACCCCGTGGAGGCAGTGGAGAGGAAACCATCTTGGCCTTGAGCCAAAATGGCTACGGAAGGGGGAGGAGGGAGGAGGAGGAGGAGAGAAGAGGAGGAGGAGGAGGAGGAGGAGGAGGAGGAGGAGGAGGAGGAGGAGGAGGAGGAGAGGAGGAAGGAGACGCGGGGCACCGTCTCTTCAAAACGAGGACCCAACACCACAGGATGGTTGGGAACTTAAACATGTTGGAGCGTTCCCGAAGCCAGTGGCTGCTTGGCCCGAGTCTTGGGATTCCCGGCAGGATCCATTACAGGCTTCCCTGGTTAATTAGGTTGAGTATCCTGCTCGCGCGCGACAAACAAATAGCAAGCCGCAGAGCGCGCAATACCATCGCACCATGGCGCAGGAGCCAATGACCACTGCATTCGACGAGCTCATCGGCCAGTGGTGGTGCTGATGCCCCGACAGACATCCGACACGCTCGCCTCAACTCCAGCTGCTCCGCACGTCACGCTCACGGCCCCTCTCGTGTCAGAAGGAGCCGCTTGCAAGACCGAATCCGTTCTAGTAGCCTTCGACTGGTGCTGTGCTGTCGGCTGACACCTGCCATGGTTTCTCGAGCTACTTAGCAACGGCTTTAAACTCCCAAGGAGCAAACGAATATGTCGAGGAGGAGGGAAGGGGCCCTTTGATCCCACGGCGCAGTCGAGGCTGCGCTGGAACCCAGTATTCCTCTCCCCCCCCTGCCTGCCTCGTTCCCACTGGCGCGCATTGAAAACGGTACGTGCGCGATAGACCCTGGCAAACGAAGGAATCGCACCCTGGAAGCACGGTGGTGGCACGTACCGAGGGTCAGCAGCGCGACGAGGGCTCACGCGCCCAGTCCAAGAGTAATCAACAACCGATACAGTCCGGCATGCATGTGAGAGGGAAGCTCACAAGAACGACTGCCCCCGTAATGATGGGGTGCATATCCACTATCTCGCTTGGGGCCTCAACGCACGAACGTGTTCCACCAAACCCAACTCTGTCCCCCCACCCAGCCTTTCTTTTAGCTGCGCTGCTGATCCGGGCATGCAGGACATGGCGAGAAAGAGTGGATGGATCGAATCTGACGAACGACTGCGCGCACACTTGGCCCGAGTCACTGTTCGGGTAAGCGGCAGGCACTAATTGCAGTGCACACTTCCGCCGTGGTTCCTCCCGCCGATGCTTGTCATGTACACTGCCCTGGACACATGCCTAAACACGTTTCTGGTTTGCACCACTGACACCACATATATATAGAGAGAGAGAAAGAGAGAGAAACCTACATACATTTATATGTGCATGTATAGGTATGCAAGTTTGTGTTTGTATGTCTGTATGTCTGTATGTATGCATGCATGTACGTATATATGTATGTATATATGGATGGATGGATCGATGGATGTATGGATGGATGGATGGAGGGATGGAAGGATGGATGAGAGAGCGTGTTTCACGGGCGCTCGCCTTGGGAACATTCGGCGGCGCGTTTCGAGCCGGGGGGTGGGCACCCCCCAACACTCGGCGCCGTCGATCAGAACCAGGGGGACTCCCCTCGCCCCAAACCCCATTCCCTCCCGACCCCCCCCCCCCCCGCCTCCCAAGGGAGGGGGCGGGGGTTCAAACGCCCCCCGCCCCTGGCGCCGGCGGCGCTGGCGGCCGCCAGCAGCGCCGACGGCGGGGCGACGATGACCAGAGGGGCCCAGGGGGGGGGGGTCCAACCCCCCCCGCCCTGGGCCCCCCCTGGCGCCAGCGCTGGCGCCGGCGCTGGCGGCGGCCAGCAGCGCCGACGGCGGGGACGCAGCGACGATTACCACCCCAGAGGCCGCAGGGGTAACACACAAATCGCCATGCCGAGCCCTCGCCCCCCAGAAGCCACCGAGAGGCCCTTAGGAAGGTCCACGAGGCTTCACACATGCTCCTCAGACGCCGCCGAGACCCTTCTGACAAGACCTCAAGAGGCATCGATGAAAACTCTGACCCCAAGCCAAAACACGGTGGCGGAAAGAACCGAAGGCCACCCCACCACCACCACCACCACCACCACCACCGCAAACCACAACACCACCACCACCACAATCACCACCACCTCCACCACCACATCCACCACAACCCACCACCACCACACCCACCACCATCACCACAACCGCTAAACAACCACCACCGAAAACGCCACCACCAGCACCACCACAACCCACCACAACCACAACACCACCAAAAACCACTCCACCGTTACCAGCACCATCACCACCACCGCCACGACCACAACCATCACGACAACCCACCACCACCACCACGAACCACCACACCACCACCACAACGACCACCACACCACCAGCAACACCCACCACCCACAACCCACCACCACCGCCAGCACCGCTACCACCAACACCACCACCAACACAAATCATCACGCCACCACCACCACCGCCACCACCAATGCCACCGCCACCACCACCACCACCGCTTCAACCAACCACCCACCATCAAACCACCACACCACCACCACCTGTGTATGGGGTTGGAGTACAAAGGTACAGAACCCCTGATCCGTTGGTAGAGGAAAGGAAGGAAAGATGGATATCTTTTCCTCCTGCACGATCGCATGGCATGCATTTCTTGAACCACTTCATTGACGCCTCCGCCCACGACCCCTGCGCTCCGCGGAAGTCCTGCAGGTGGGGCACTCCACAGTCGACATCGTCACGCAGTGTGAACGCCCGAAAATATACCATCAACAAGAGCCCGTTCCTATCCTCCTGCCCCGCTCCGTGCTTCGGCTGCGGCGCTCCATGAAAACTCGGGTTCCTCGGGCGCTCGTTCCGCGCCAGCACCCGCGTGTGCCTCAGAGTTTCCAACTCCGGAACATCCGGGAACGGTGCCCACGAATAACTCCCCCATCCCTCCTTGATCACATAATCCACTCCAGCTTTCAATTGGGGTCCAGCCTCGGCAACTCCCAGCCTCGGCAACTCCCAGAGGGCCCCCACGACAACTCACCGGGACCCCGAGCCGCCAAATGATCGTTCGAAGACGCCAAAGATGGCGCCCACGCGGCCCAAGATGCCTCCAAGAGTGCTCCGGGACGGCCCTACCGCAGAATCCAAACGGCAATGTAAAGCCGCGGGCCCCCACAGAAACAGCATGAGGCCCCCGGAAGCTCTCCAACAACGATGCCGGGGCGCCCCCGCGAAAAGAACCAGGAGCCCCCCAAGAGAAAATTATTATTATATTATTATATATACATTTATATATATATATATATACACAGCTGAGCACCAAATATATTCTTGGCCGCCGGCGACGTTCCACCTCGAACGTCCGCTGCTGGGTCGCCGCCGCAGCGCCTCGACCACCTAACTATACCGTGACCCGCGGGGCCACACACGTGCTCAAAACAGACCCCCGCACACCCACCCCCCCTTAAAGGGGCCGGCGGATGCGGCGTAAGCCTAGAGAATCTTTTTCTCCTGCACGATCAAAGGTCTGATCGATCTAGTCCAATACCTGAGCCCAAACGGCCAGGCGCAGGAGAGGTGAAGATAAGGAGTATATATGAGGGTATTATACGGGTTCTATTCACACCCCCCGTCCCGAATCCCGCCCGCAAAGACAGGACTCGGGAAAAAGAAAAAAGAACCTGCCACCCTTTTACTCCTCAAATCCTCGGCACTGCAAGGCAGCTGAGCGTAAAACCTGCACCGCTTCAGCTGCGCCCCGATCGCGACAGCGGTGTGCAAAAAGTAGCGTAGCACAACGGCTGTCATGATCAGGCAAGTAAGGGTAAGAAGGAACACCCAGGGTCCCTGTTTCTTCGCCAAGCACACTTTGGTGCCCCCTCGGTGCGCCCCCCAAAAACGCTTCGGCACTCGAGGGCGGAGAAGAATGAGACACGGGTGGGCGGAGCAAGAGGATCTGATAAAATTAAAGCAACATCAGAAGCTGCCGCGCCTAAACGCGGCAGGTGTTGCCACCGGCTCTCAAACCAGAGCTGGGCATCAGATCATTCTCAACGCAATGTGATTATACGGTAAAGAATAAGCAAAACAAAACTGCAATAACAAGTCGTGCTGAGAAACACGATCGTGTTCAGAAACACGTCGAATCATCAAAGCAAATGCATGGCCATGCGTAGAGTCGCGCTGATACACCCCAAACAAACTGCATTAACAAACTCTGCAATTCGTTACACCCCTAGGCGATGCTCCTCAGGAGCCTGCCTTACCCTGTGGCCATCGTTCTCGACGTAGCTCGTCGTGAATGTCTCCCAAGGCGTCCTTGGGGCCCAATTGCGGAACCGCTCGTTGTGCAGCAGGTCGCGGACGCGCACGAACTCGTCGTTGTTGTCCGCGATGTATATCCAGCATTTGGCGCAGTAGCCCCGGCACCTGGGGCCCCACTGGCCGTCCTCCAGGTTGCGGCGCCACCACGTCGCGTAGTCCTCTGTCGTACGCGCCCGCTTGGCACGTGGAGGCGTTGTTGGTCTGCGGCGGGCGTCGCCGCTCTGCCGCTGCGCGGCGGCCGCGCCGCGCGGCCCAGCGGGCATGTCATCCTGCGCGCCAGAGGCGCGGGGTCCAGCGGCATCGCCATGGGCAGGGCGAGGCGGCGGCGGGCGCCGCGGCTGCTGCGGCTCCATGGCGCCATGTGTGTGTGAGGAGTGTGTGTTGGGGTCGTTAGGGTCGGTTCTAACCCCTGAACTCACCCCCCTTGGATTGGCAGATCCCGCGGCAGGTTCGACGGAGGCCAGTTTGGCAAGCTTGCGCTGCGTGACCTTCTCACAAGTTCCGTCCCCGCGGGGCGCAGCAATTGTGGCAAGGCCGCGCTCTTGCCTGGTGCCTCTGTCGAGTCTACCATCGTTCAGCCACCAGTTCCTGCGACCAGCGAAGCCAAGCCTAACGCTGTGATCATAGATGTCACAAGCGTCGCGCATGTCATCGATGGTCCAGGCCTTTTTGCCAGTCTCAACGCGAGCGGCAGTCATCTGGTGGCGGAAATGCGGGTCACTGAGGAAACGCTGTGCGACATTGCGAAAAGGGTGGTATAGAGGTCGCTGATCCTCAGCCTCGCCCATCATCCTGCACATGTGCGCAGGAGGGGAGCCTGCGTCAAGCCACCTCTGATGCCTCTCCTCTGCCCTCTTCGCATGTTTCCTCAAGGTATCCTTCTCCTGGCCAACCTTGGAGCGCTTGCCCATCATGTAGACGCGCGCTCCATCTGACATGTACCGGTTGACATCGTCCAGGGAGAGGTTCGCCTTGATCCAGTAGTTCAACTGCTGGAGGTACGCTAGGTCGCTCTCCGCGGCGCCACCTTGGCCTGTGGCACCTACAGAGACACTGTACTGCCAGCAGATATCACAAATTGCACCGTCACCCGTGACGATTCCCAGAGAAAGGAAACGATCGCAATTCCGACATCGCGCTATATCATGCTGGATCGCTTCAGGAGCCCCAGAAGTGACAAGATCCCTGAGAGATCCCCAGCGGGTGGCGCCACCGTCAGTTGACGCAAGGCCACGACCGATTTGGTTCATTGCCTCACGATGGACCTCTGCGGTCGGACGGGAAGCGATCGATCGGCCGACCCCCTCTATCTCGATCCTAGACAGCCTTTCTCCCAGTAGTCCTGCGTGCCCGGAGGTGTCGGTGTCCGCGGTGCCCATTTCACCATGCTGTACGTTGTCCGTGCGAATGCGGGTGGCCTCTGCCTGCAAGATGGCCTCGTTATCGCCCACCTCGCGGTCAATGTTCTGCGTCTCGGCTATGATCTGTACCATGGTCTCTTGGTCGGGAGCTGCCGAAGCGACGCTGCCTGGGTCCCGGGGGATATCCTGCTTGGCGCCTGGATCGTCTAGGTCAGGCGCAGCAGGCGTTTCCACCGGCTCCTTCCATACGGGGAAGCCTGGGTTGCCATGTGTCTTGATGCACTCTGTAAAGAAAGCGCGCAACGTATTGAGGGCAGGATGGTTCTGATAGATAGTATCGTTGGTGAATTGATGCAGCTCCTTGATGCTGTCCAACAGTATGATTTGGTATACTTTGGAAATCCATTGAAATAGGCCCGCGGTCAATTCCTCAATGATCTCTGGGTCAAGGTAATATACCATCTTTGTGAAGAAACAATATGCACTGCATATTGGTAAGTCGCGTGCCCATTTATGGGTATGATCGTAATCCATTTGGTAT